ACCGACGCGGCCCGGGCGGGAGCCAAGCCAGAGCCGGAGTCGCCGAGACGCGGAAACATGGAGGCCTGAGCCTCTGCCACTCGCTGGTCCGTGAGCTGGAAGCGGATCTCCCTGCCGGCTGAGACAGGTGGGCTGGGAGACCGGCCGGGCCCCCAGCTCCTTGGCAGAGCGGATTGGGGGACACCCTTTCCCCTCCCCTGGTCAGCGTCAGGAGCTGGGGGCAGCGCCGCCACGGAGGCGGAGTAGGGTCCCTTCTGGCCAGTGGGGACGGGCCCCGGGAGAGGCTGTGCCCCAGGCCCCTCCCTCCGCCCCGGGATACCGGGGCGCTGAGGGCGGAGCGGCGAGGGGGTGTAATCCCGGGAGTTGGGGGGGCTCCCCAAGAGCAGGTCGGCCATTCGGGAGATCGGTCTGACAAATGGGCGTGTGCTGGGCAGGGCGGGCAGTAGTGTTTACTTTTTCTTTTTTGACAAGTACATTTTTATTGAGACGTAATTCACATACCAGTCAATTCACTTTTAAAGATACAGTTGAAGTACAGCTCCGTGGCGTTTAGCATATCCAGAGGGGTGTGCAGCTGACTCTACAACATTTTTATCACCCCGAAAGGACACCATACCCCATGCAGTCACTCCTCCTCCCCTCCCAGTCCCCCGACACCTGGCGATTGTGCTTTAGCTGAGGGGGAGAGTGGGAATTAGCCCAAGTATTTGTGAACGATGGGGGTGGGGGTGGGGTTAGTGGGGATTGAGGGCAGTGGGTGATCAAGCTGATAGGATGAAAGTGCTGGAAAGAGGTAGAAAACTGATAGGATGGATGTAATAGGGCCAGCAAAGGGGTGCACGCGAGAGACTGACTAGCGGCGCAGTTGGTGTGGGATTTTCAAAGGGGAGAAAGGAGGTCGGAGGTAGAGGTGTGTAGTGAGAAGGCACGAACTGAAAGATAGGAAAACATGGGGCGGGGGCGTGGTGGAGGGGGTGCAGCGCAGGGCAACCTTACAGAGGAGCAAGGCATTGGGCTGATGAGTTGAGGGTCAAGAGGGGAACGGAGCTAGAGAATCCGTAGGAATCGGTGAATGGTTGCTGGCGACCAAATAAATATTCCCATTCTGCAGATGGAGTCTCTTGGAGGTGAGGTGACTTGCTGAATCTCATAAGGTTACTACACAAGGAAGAATGGGGTGAGGATTAAAGAGTAATTGATGAAACTTTCAGTTGCAGGTGGATTGCATGGCAGAGAATTGAGGTGGGGCAATGTTACAGGAAGGAGATGCAACTATTAAATATATCAAGAGGTCTATATTATTTGATGGGTCAAGTCCTTTGTTCTTGTACCCTTTGAATACAGAAAAGTTCAAGCAGTGGAATAATATACCCCCATGTGCCCATTCCTCAACTCCAACAGTTAGTAACTCAGGGTAACTTAGTTTTATCCATACCCCTATCCATTCATATCCCTACTCCCAATTATTTTATAAATATTTGAGTATACTGTATATCTGTAGAATAGTTAGTCACTCTCTCTTTTTTAAAAAAAATACATCTGTACTTATTTCATTGAGGAAGGGAGAGTGAAAGAGAGAGAGAATTCAATGATGAAAGAGAATCGTTGATCGACTGCCTCCTGCACATCCCCAGCTGGGGCTCATGGGCCCTGATCAGGAATTGAACCATGACCTCCTCCTGGTTCATAGGTCGACGCTCAACCACTGAGCCATGCTGGCCGGGCCACTCTCTTTTTAATAGACCCACAATACCATTATCACACCTAACCTTTAATAGTAAGCTCTTAATATCAGTATCTAGGACTTATTTTTTAAATGTGGCATTTGTTTTATACAAGGGAATAAGCAGTGCAAACACTTCGATGTTAGACGCTGAAAAATAGAATTGTTTTCCCTTTTGTTTTTTTTAAATCCTCACCTGAGGATATTTTTCCATTGTTTTTTAGAGAGAGTGGAAGAGAGAGGGAAAGACAGAAATATCGATGTGAGAAAAACACATTGATTGGTTGCCTCCTGCACATGCCTTGACCAGGGCCTGGTCGGGGGAGGAGCCTGAAACCAAGGTACATGTCCTTGACCGGAATCGAGCCCAGGACCCTTTGGTCCGCAGGCCAACACTCTATCCACTTCTGCCCAAACCAGCTAGGGCAGAAATGCAGACACCAGGCTGGTTGGGGAGAGGGGTGGTAGAGGCAGAATAGGTGATGGTGGTCTAAAGGTGCAAACTTCAAGTTGTAAGATAACTAAGTCCTCTGAATGTGATGTATAGCATGGTGACTATAGTCAGTAACACTATATTGCATCCAAGGCACGTGCCCCGGCTGGAATTGGACCCAGTACCCTTCAGTCCATGGGCCAACGCTCTATACACTGAGACAAACCAGCCAGGGCTGTTTTCTGTGTGTGTGTGTTTTTTAAATATATTTTTATTGAGTTCAGAGAAGAAGGGAGAGGGAGAGAGAGCTAGAAACATCAATAATGAGAGAGAATCATTGATTGGCTGCCTCCTGCACACCCCTCACTGGGGAATGGAGCCTGTAACCCGGGCATGTGCCCTGACCGGCAATTGAACCGTGACCTCCTGATTCATAGGTTGACGCTCAACCAACGGGCCACACTGGCTGGGCTCTTTCCAGTTTCTTATTCTGTCATCCCTAGGGTGTGGCCCTTGATTTCTGGGTTCAGGATGGCTGCTGGTGGTCTTGCTAGTATCCAAGCAGCAGGATGGAGGAAGGGACAGAGAAGTGGCTGGACACTCTGAAGGGAAGTTCTGTGTAATTCAGTGATAACCAATACTTAGTCATGTGATCGTTCTGGCTGCAAGAGAGGTTGGGAAATGTATCTGAGCTGGACAGGAATATGCTCAGCCAAAAATAGGAGTTGTTACTATAAGAGAGGAAGGTCTGGAGATTGAGGTAGGCGATTGGTGTTTCTACCATACTTCATAATTAGTTTCTCTGTGAACTCCAGACTAACCCACACGCTTCCCAAATTTCTAGGTTTGAATCCTAGCTGTGTTATATATGTGCCTTGGTGTGTTACTCAATCTTTTTGAGCTTTAGCATTCTCAACTGTAAAATGGAGCTAATATTTACTTTAGATGTTTGTTAGGATTAAATGAAAATATTTCTTATGTATCTGGCAACATAATACTAGTACACTCCAAATACTAGTCTTTCCTTCTCCTCCCTCAGGTTTCTGGACTTGGATATCTGAATGGGTAGAGTGAAAAGAGAAATTGGAGACGGATAGGGGAGGATACGAAGTTCAGTATTGGGCACATTGTCACCCAGAGGATGATGTATGGCAGGCAGACATATAAATGGTATGTCACCTGCAAGACAGTTCTGGACTGGTCATGGATATTTTGAAATCATCAGCGTATAGGGGAAGACTTCACTGATCTAGAAGACTCAGGGATGTATATAACTTTAGAGTTACAATGGGCAAAGTAGAAGGCATGTCCTTGAGTAAGTCTCCCCATAACGCAGTGGTTCTCAACCTTCTGGCCCTTTAAATACAGTTCCTCATGTTGTGACCCAACCATAAAATTATTTTCGTTGCTACTTTATAATTGTCATGTTGCTACTGTTATGAATCGTCATGTAAATATCTGATATGCAGGATGGTCTGAGGCGACCCCTGTGAAAAGGTCGTTCGACTGCCAAAGGGGTTGCGACCCACAGGTTGAGAACCGCTGCCATAACGCATGAAGCAGCAGCTTGCTTTCTGGCCTTGTTTGGTTCCACTTTTTGATTCTCTCCCACTCCAGCCATGTTGAACTTCTTTAAATTCCTGGAATGAGCCCTATCTGTTTCTGTCTTACCCCTAGGCCTTGACATATGCTATTGTCTTCACTTTGAAAATTTTCTGAACCTTCCAACCAAGACAACCCATCTTTCCCTTCAGGTCTCAGCTTTTATGGCATGACTCCTGGGAAGCTTTCACTAAGTCTTGACTGGTTGCCATATTATCATTTCATGTCTGCTTATCTGTTTCTCTTCCTCAGCTATAAATAAACTCCACTCCCAATTTTAATGTTGCCATTTACCATTGTGCTGGCCACATAGAGGGCACTCAGGAAATATCAACAGACTCCTGGTACTTACTTACCATAATATGATATCTCTTCAGGAGTGCTAGTTTGTTTTGCAACCCTGCACTGTTCTTTTAGTGTTTGCACATTGAGTTGTTTATATGAATCAATGATTGTGAAATAGTAAAGCACATTCTCCCTAATTTATTTAAAAGTTAACTTTTCTACTTAAAGTAATACTTGCATATTGAGGTAATACTAGAAGGTATATTATAAAAACCAGCAGTATCCTTCTTTCTTCGTCTGGGCCTCAGAGGCAACTGCTTTTAACACATTTTGTACCTCTCAGGAGTTTTCTCGTGTTTTGCGCGCCATCTGTTAAGGACTGCTCACGAGTTTTCTTGTGTTTCGCGCGCCATCTGTTAAGGACCACTCACGAGTGTTCTCGTTTTTCATGCCCATGGAAAAAGGAGCAAATCTAGATACTTATGTAAATTTTGTTTGGTCCCTCTTCATAGAGGAAAATGTTTTACGCAGTACCATACGTTAAAAAAGTACTAGGAACTTTAACTGTTTAATTGTTTTTGTAAATAAAAATGTTATAATTATCAGAAAACAGCACAAAAAGT